CCTCGGGCTTGGTTGCGTCACTGAAACCCGAAGAAGGCGCTACAACCCCGTGATGCCTGAAGCCCGAGCAAGAATCCCTACAACTCCGGAAAGACCACAGAAGAAGCAGCTCATGTCCCAAACTCCTTCTGGTCCAGGAGTCAGGTCTGAGAGAAAGATCGTCGGTAGGGAGAGGCGGCTTTCCTTCAGAGCTTCTGGTTGCCGTCGGCTGCGGCGTTTTGCGGTTCCGGAGGCGTGGATGTGGAAGTGGGATGAGCATACGCGGCACCGCTGCATCACAGTAAAGCGCAGGCAGAAACTCTTTCAGATTCAATACCTAATCTTAATTAATTCGTAAGCCCTATAAACCTCTGCTCTGGAGGGAAGAATGTATCCAGCGTAGCAGGGTTCCTCGGGACGAATCCTGAACATCGGCTTTCTCCAAAAGGGGTTCCGGGGGTTTCTGGCGACTAATCCTGGCTCTTTACTGGCTCCTCCTGGAGGAACAAGAGCGACTAATGCCAACCCACCATTCTATGGCTTGTGCCGCCGCTGCAATCCAAAACCCTAGGCGATGGCCTTGACGACTAGAAGCAAGTTCTGGTGCATTTTATGTTAAAGCTGATATAAGGAATCAAAACTACTACTACTACTACTACTACTACTACTACTACTACTAGTAAGAGGCTCTTCGGCTTCTATATGATTTGCATCCCGACCTCTCCACCTCAGGCTGTCGGCCCTCAGCAGCAGTCTAGGACCAACGTCACTGAGATCCGGGCGAATCGATATTTTGTCGGCCTCTCAAGACGGGGGGTCCATAAGCTCAGGAGTCTGTTGTCTAGGGGTCCTTGTCACAAAGATTACACGGGTCCCCTGTTTCTCTGAAACTCTGCAAAGTTTCAAACCATGACCTGGCAGTCTGAGACTGCGACTGCAAGTGGAATTTTCGGACTACAGTCTTGAAACAAAGCAACAGCAGGAATGACATCGAAAGCAGTACCGCTGAATCAAAAACCAGGTATCTTGCCTGGACAGGTACTTTGCCAGTTTCATGCGGCGGTGCCGCCGTGCGCCCTCCTGCATGGATCAAGCGAGAGCTCCCCTAATTAATGCTCTCCTCCTGTGTGCGGTGGTGCTTTGCAGATGGCTTTCTGAACCCTACGATACAGGAGTCCTCAAGCACGGTGTGACCAGCTTGCTGGTTTCCTCTTGCGACACTCCGAAAACTACTGTATCTCGACTTTCGAGAAACTGACAGCTGTGTCCTCGTTGCGTCCGTCGCTGATTTGCACAACCTTCGCCAATTATGACGGTGCAGCAAGAGGGTCAGTTCCGGCACGCGAAGACAACATAACGTCATCACCAGAACACCCTCCTCTTGTACTCCTTGGGATTCTGGGCCCTAACCCCTAAACTGGCACAGCGGGTTCTCGTCGTCCCTGCCTCTGCACCAAATCGCTTCGCGAAGGCTGCCGGCTCGGTCGGTGCGTCTACCTCCAGCAAACAGAACCATCATTCCCTCATAACATTATAGTATAATATATATATATATATATGTATATAATATACCCCCTATATTGTTCCTCATAACATTATAATATAATATACCCCCCTATTGTCATGATTATTACGGCCGCTATGCTGGTATAGACGGGGCTACTCATGCCCGAATCATCGGAGTTGGGGGCCCAGTATGTGAAAGGGTTTAGGGTTTAGGGTTTAGGGTTTAGGGTTTAGGGTTTAGGGTTTAGGGTTTCGGGTTTAGGGTTTATGGCTTCAAATTGAAAGGGAAGCAGCTTCGGTTTTTTTTAAGGGGTTTAGGGTTCAGGGCTTCGGGTTTAAGGTGTAGGGGTTTAGGGCTTAGGGGTTTAGCGCTGTTCCAAAATGATATGAATGCCGTGCTTCAGGAATGCTGTGCTAAGTAAGGCTTTCTGTGCATTCAGTCATCGCAGGAACACCGAGTAACATTGTATTGAACAGTGTCACGTTTTATCTGTCTGAGCATCCCGAATGCTAAACTCTCTCGTGGTGCTGCGAGGATGTCGTAAATGAAGCTTAGGCTTAGAGCGCTTTCTTCCGGAATCGCAAAACAAAACAGCACCCTAAACAAAATGGGAGTTTCCGAAACAGGGGACCCTAACGTGGGACCCCAAATAGTAGGATCCTTACTGTAAGGACCCCAAAATAAGGCACCCCTTATTTTGGGAAACTCCCAAATACCTTCGACCCTAGACACTAAATCAAGAACCCTAGAACCTCAAATCCTCGAAGCCCAAACCCGAAACACATTGCAAGGAGGACAGAACAAACACAGGAGAACAGGATTCATAGTGCCCCTTATAGTACGCCCTGTAATACCGCATTAGAGTACATATCCCTTCATGATTATTTCCCTTGTTATTCTAACAATCTAATGCCCTTGCTCGAGTCGCCCTCATGGCTTTCCCGCCTCGAGGTTGAGGTGAGTCACCAGCACGGGCTTCCCACGCCACTTGGAGGCCTAGGTTCACTGGCTTGGCGCTCTCGCAACTCGGAGCTCAGCCCAGAACTCAGCTTACTGGCTTTTTTTTCAAAGTGCAATGCGCCCCTTTTAAGGGCTCAGGGTTTAAGTGGCTTTGCCCTCATTGGGTTTCGGGTGTTGTTGGGCTGTCGCAACTTGGAGGTCTGCTGAGAACCCGAACAGCTCCAAAGCGTGCGAAAGGAAGCTTCAATAATGCTCACGGGGGCTTGAGCACCTGCTTGTAAAACGATCGGGGCATGAAGCTTGGCTTGAACGACCACTGAAGCCGTTGTAGATAGGTAGTTCGCAGTCAGAAAAGCACCGATGCACGGACCCCGAGTGGAGACCTACCGGGCATTGCCTTTGTCATTCTGTCTCTTGCCATCCACACACACGCACACACATGCACGTGTTTGGTGTCAGTCTCAGCCTCTCTGAGTGAACGGCTGCTGTTCGTGACTGCTGGCAGACAAGGATCTCTAAGGGTTTGATGGGGTTTGTACCGTACGACATGTACTGTTGAGCATCTCAGACTCCTCGTGTGGATTCGGGGATAGCTGGGACCCCATTCGACAAAATCGATGACACAACGGGCTCAAATCCTGCAGCATGTGGCGAAGTCGTCCCATGTGAGATCTTGAGCACTGATGCGTGGCAGATCGCATCTTCCTTGGATAGCACGACAGCTGTGGTTGCAATCTGCACTCCGGATGACGCGTTCTCTGCAATTTCTGTTCAGACCCGGCCCAAGGTTCAGGGGATCTCTCTTCAAGAATGTCGGGAGACTTCCGCAGTGACGCAACATCGAACTATGACCGTTCACGTCCGAAAACAAGTATTCGAGGAAGGGCTTTGGGAGTAGAGTGCCTCACGATCCGAACTCCTCACAAACAACCGCCAACATCCACAGCCCATTGGGGTTGACGGCTTACCTGCAACAGAGCTGCAACGGGAGCTGTAGCGGAACTGCTACGGAGCTGTAACGGGAAGCCTTCACAGCATGTCCAAGCCAGACTGTTACAACATCCCAAAAACCCAAAATGTCGTAGTAACTGATGGTAGAGAACACACCCGACTATACAACCATACACACAAATACGATCAAGCCTACGAAACCCTGTCAGACCTTACCTTATCAAAAGCCTGTTAGACCTGAGAGCCACCCTATCAACAAAACCCTATGCGTAAGTCTCTGATTCTATCTGAAACCACAAACCCTACCCTAAACCCGAAACCCTAAACCCTAAACCCCTAAAGCCAAACGCCCCTAGATCCCCGAAGCCCAAGAACTCTACTTACTACCTACTTACTAAATCTTACTAAGTCCCCCTAAGCCTTTTTGGCAACAGAACCCTAGACCCTACGAGTAAGCCCCTAAACCCTAAACCCTAAACCCCAAACCCTAAACCCTAAACCCTAAAACTCTAAACCCTAAAACCCGAAACCCTAAACCCTAAACCCCTAAACCCCCTTGATCTGAGATGCTGTTGGCAGAGTCGCCTCTGATTCTGACTGCGCCCAAAAGAAGGAGCGCAGAAAAGCATGGCATTTGGACCCAGGGATCTATCAAGAGTTCCTTTAAGGGTTTTAGGGTTTAGGTCCCGGGATCTATCAAGAGTTCCTTTAAGGGTTCCTGCAAGGGATTTATGAGGCTACCTAGGGCTTGGGGTGGTGGGGGTTTTGGGTTGGTTTTAAGGTTTGGGGTTCGGGATTTAAGATTTGGGGATTTTGGGATTTTCGGGGGTTTGCGGTTTAGTGTTTTGGCTGTTTACGGGTTGTGGGACAGCGCTTGCTGCGGGTCCAGGGCTCGCCTGCATGTAAGTGTGTATGGCACGGCGGAAACTGCAGGTGGGAACGCAAGGCTTCTGAAAACGTGCGTAGATTGATGTGGTGAGGCCCTCATCGGACTCTGCATACAGCTGCTCAAAAAACGTGTTCAAAAGCCCGCCTGTGGACTTATCGATGGGGAAGTCTCACTGAAAGACCCCCGTATAGCTGAGAGTCGCGATGCGCTCCGCAGCTTGAGCCGGCGCAGCAGCAAAACCAAGCAGTTCGAAACCCTTTAGGGTTTAGGGTTTAGGTTTAGGGTTTAGGGTTTCCCAGCCACCGCTCACTTCCGGCTTCCTCAGCAAAGCTTCCAAGCCCACCAGCCCCAAGTAGCCCTGAACCTCTTATATACCCCTGAAAGTAACATGCACTCCTAGTCCTTGAGAACCCTAGAGCCCTTAACCCTTAAGCCCCTTAAGCGCTAAATTACTAAATTCCTGTCCCTATAAGCCCCAAACCCTAAACTCCCCAAACCCAAAACTCCCTAAACCCTAAACGGCCCTAAACTCCCAAAACCCGAAACTCCCTAAACCCTAAACTCCCAAAACCCGAAACTCCCTAAACCCTAAACTCCCTAAACCCTAAACTCCCAAAACCCAAAACTCCCTAAATCAAATCCTATTCCCGGAAGGCCCCAGCTGCGAAATCGCAGGAAGAACGACCCAAGACTCTGGAGTCTGATTGGCCGGGCCTGGGCTGAAAAGTGAAGAGGTAGTAGACCTGAGAGGCTTCTGGCAAGCTTCAGCACTCACAGCTGGGACAAGCCTGGCTACCGGCAAGCTTAGGAGTTTAGGGCTTTGGGGTTAGGGTTTAGCATTAGGGTCTAGGGTCTAGGGTTTAAGCTTTGGTTTAAGGGCTTATGGGGGAACAGATAAGCCAAAAGGTTTAGGGCTTCAGATTCGGGAGATAACAGACACACGGGCTGACAACTTTCCTGGCATCTGCCGTACATCCTCCCACTCGGACAAGCCAAGTGAAGTCTCACAGTTCGCATCGGCAAAAATTGTTTGATGCAGGCGCCTTGACAATTAGAATACGTATAATTATTGGGTTCCAGCCTTTCCCCTAAACCCTAAATGTCCAGTAGCATGTAGGGAGGAGCCGTGCCAGTAGGATGTAGGGAGAAGTCAAAAGCCGTGCCTATGACGAGAACTTGGCAGAGCGTAGGATTGTAGCAACGTATATGACCGCTTATCTGATTTTTCCCCTGCCTGCACAGCCTGGACGAAATCTCGTCAAGATGCCCCTAGCAAAAACTACAACGTGGAACAGGGCAAATCTTTCCAGTTAGACTGTCACAGAAGGCCCACCCACCTACCCCTAAACTTCATTAAACTTCCCTGCCCCGCGCAGCAAACTTAGCAAAAAAGATGATCAACACTAAAATGCACGTCCGGCGTCGCTCCGCTCCGCAAGCTGCTACCTGTTCCTACATAACACCGAGACGAATAATGTGCAATCGCTCCGCTCCGCACAATCCGATGCAGCATAGTGTAGCCTAGAATTTAAGTAAATAGTGTACAATCATAGTATATAGTGTGTGGTATGTAGGATATGGGAGATAAGATGTAGGGTAAAGGACATGGGTATAAAGTTCACAGAATGTAGTAAACTGTATATTAACTGTAGAGTTTATACTGACAGAGTGCATCCTGAACACGAACTAGGAGAGAAGCTTGAGCCGGCCTTGTGACATCGTGAAAATACTTGGGGGCTGTAATCCCGCATCTCCTTAAATTAAAGGCAATATCGGTGCGAGGACAAGTAGGTCGCATAAGGGAAAAGGGTAACCGAGGACATTCGTGTGGCAATAGCTCATTGATGGAGGCAGGTGAGAAACTATATCTCCGACATAACTGCGGGCGTGTCCATGAGACTGGGGCCACTTGGTGGGAAGGAATGGGGCTATCAAGTTTTTGCAACGTAAGAACTCCAACTTCCATGTTGCGCCCCACAGGCAAGCTGCGGTGTCACGCCGGATCTTGCCCATCATCACCTGGTTTAGGGTGGGCTTTGGGGTTCGGGGTATGGGCTTTAGGGCTTGGGGTATGGGCTTGAGGGTTTAAGGTATGGGATATAGTCATTAAGGGTTTAGGGATAGAGTAAGTGTCCCCTATAAAACCCTATCCCGAGCATCTCTTGTTGAACCCGCACTGAGGCAGCCCCCTGAACCGAAAAAAACAACCTCGTGGGCGCAGTTCCCAAAGAAAAGCCCGAATCCCGAAAGCATGTGCGTGGTTCTCTAAGTAGTGTCCCTTTGTAGGTCCCAAACACAATACAGCACCCTTATAGACAGGAGGACGCTAACAGGGAGCCTAATTTAGAGAAGTACCCGTCTATGTCTCTTACAAGCCAAACCGGAAAGCCGGCCTGAAAGGCTTTGTATCCGTCGAGCTTGTACCTTGGTCTTTGGATGGCTTATGGTTCGAGGGAGACTGATGTTGAAGGGCCATCGCACATTCAGCACCTAACATCAGCAGCAAAATTTTAAAGGTCACAACTGCCAATCCAAAGCCCCCAAAGCTTGCTTGCTGAGAGGACAGAACATACGATCGACTATATACTATCATATACAACATACATATACTACACTATGCTAAACTATACTATGTAAGCTTCTTGCACAAAGCGGATTAGCTTCACAACCCTTGGGCCAGTCTTCGGCCCTTGGACCTTGATCTCTGTTTAGGGTTTAGGGCTTTTGCCACCCACCTAGCGAGAGCGAGTCTGCATTGCAGGGTTGAGTCAGAGAAGGGTTTAGAGTTTAGGGAGGCAGAGAACTCCAACTCTGAACACCTCGGTTTGTTCACAAAGGGCGTCCATTTTGCGGAGGGCTCTGAGAGCCCGCCACTTCTGAACAGACTATCGCAGCTTTTGGTTTTGAGACAATTTTTGCAATTTGGTTTTCCTGAGAAGTCGATCAGGAGCTGACTAAATAACCAATATAAGGGCTTGAATAGTTAGAATAGGGTTTTGGGGCCCGTTATACTATTATTATAGTAAGGAACACCCACAGTAGTTTTGATCATAATTTAGGCCCCTACATGACTGGTTGTGGGGTTGAGGGTTTAGGGTTGAGTTCATGCTGAACGTGATCTCGACCCGGCTCATGTTTCTCGAAGCACTGCAGGTGACATGGGCCTTGCCGTGCAAAACCAGATGAGCTGCTCCACCAACGGATCTCTTTGTCCGTAACTCCGGAGCTTTGAGTAGTTCCTCGACCGGCGTGATGTCTTCAGCTTCTCGGCATGCAGACTCCAAAACGACAACTCATGCCATGCTCGCAGCAGCAAGGAAATCCCAAATTTGTGCATACAACAGAATGCCAACGGCTCCGATCAGAGGCGTCTCCAATCTCTCCCACGATGCCTCAGGAAGGTCATGTACTTCAGGTGCTTCCTCCAGTAGTTGTCAATCTGCATCAGTAACACCTTCCGTCGTCCGAGACAAGGGCTTTACGATTCGAATCCGAATACACCCGAGTTCATTGTAGTTATCGTTATCTGGGTTTGCACGTGGTGGGATGCTGTCACTCGGCAAGATAAGGAAGCTAAACTTAGAAGCAGCAAGCCCTGCCTGCCGGAACACCGCGCGGTGCAGCTGCGGTGCGTCCTCATCAATCCTCTTCATTTCATGGTCAGGTTGCTTAAGGGTTTCAGGTTTAGGACAGGTTTAAGGCCAGCGCGGGATGTGGGTGCAATCCGATCCCCGGGATACCTGTACTGACACCAGCCCCCAATGGAGCTCTGACCGCAAACAACAAATACCAAGGTGAGTCAGCTGGTCAGCTGGAGCGGCGCAGGTTTTGGGGTTCCAGGGTGAGGCTCATGCTATGTACCAGCAGCTACATACAGGCCATGACTCCATACAATTTCCCTGCAGCGTATTCGTAATGTTGCCGAAGCCCTCCGACCGTTAAGAAGGAGGAGGCGCGAAGGATTAAGTTTGGATTCCGCAAAGGATGTCTGTCCTTGTCTGTAAGCTTCAGACTTAATTAATTCATGTCCCGTACTAGGAACCCAAGCTGCCCTAGTAGGGCCCTTTCCATGCTACACCCAGCAAGCGTAACTGAAGCTTATTCCGCCTGGCTACACGATCCGCAGCTAGTGGCAATTCAAGAGTCCCGTAAACCCTAAATCCCAAAGGGTCCAATGTACCTATATAGTAGAATGTAGGGTTTCTATATTAGGAATTACTATTATGATTTAGGGAAGTATCCCCCCATAACAGTACATAGGACCCTTTGGGAATCTTAAAGCCCGTTCGGAGTTGAATGGTCCTCGCGGCTTTGCGGTCGATTGCCTCCCATGCGTCCACCAATGCAATTGGTAGTTCTCTACATTACGCCCTTTTTCACTACGGTTTAGGGTTTAATCAGGGGTCCCAAGAATAGTATGGGCGCTTAGAAAAACGACCGTAACAGGGGCCCAAAATGAAATTAAAGAAGTACCCATGTGTGAATGTATGAGTGAGGCACACACAAACTCAAATCAGCTCATACTTACAAGCCGACTGCTGCGACACGTACACGTCTCTACTTGCGTACATAGTCTCTGTGTGTTGGATGATGTGAGAGGTATACATACACCACAATACATGTACAGAATCATTCCAGCTCGTCTAAGTCTGTGCATCTGAACCGCGGTTTTCATGTATTCCAGCGATGCCGGATCAGAGTTCAGCAAGCTTTGTCGAGGTAGCTGCTATGAGTCCTGATGAGTAGAAGCTCTCAGCCAAAAACGTAAAACAAATGTGACTTCTCTACTATGAATCTCACGCTAGCCTTGACACTTGAATGATAGAAACCCCACTTAAAGGCTGAAGGGACTTGAGAGGCAACTTCTAAGTATAATTAATTAGGATAGCCCCATTTAGGGGACTTACAACCGTAATTCGAGCCTACTTCCTAACTAAGTCCCCTGAGCTTAAGGCAAAAATCGAATCTCTAGAACCCCAGCTAAGCAGCTATAACATACTTACACACAAAGACTAAGTCATTTAAGCCCTTAAGCACCTCAGAACCCAAAACTCGAATCTCTAGAACCATGCCTCCAGGCTTTCACGCTGCACCCAGCATCTTAAGGCTTCGCAGCCCTGGATCGGTCACTCAAGGGAGCTTCAGGGTTTAGGGTTTAGGGTTTAGGGCTTAGAGTTTCACATCAAGGCTCGTGGGACATGGTAAAGGGGGGTGATAATTAGGGGGCCCTAAGTAGGGTTATCCTGATTTTACCCTCTCTTATAGCGTTGCTTGTTAAGTCCTTTCAGCCTTTGAGTAGGGTTTGGAGTTTCAGAGTTGCCGACTCGCACACAAGCTGGTGGCAGGAACGGATCCACGGCAACTGGACTTAGTTTTAGGATTTGAGGGTTCAGCGTTTCGGGTTTATTGGCCTTTAGGGTTCTAGGGTTCAAAAACCTTGGCTCTAGTAAGCATCGGATCGCGCATCTGTGAAGGGTTTTGTTTCCCACTGAACATCCTCCCGGCTCCGGCCGTATCTAAGCCTTCCAGTAAACTAGTGCTACGCATGTATATATATATATATATGCTACCATATATATATATATGTATATACATACATACATACAGTATCAATATATATATATATGTATATCTATATATATGTATATAAGGTATGTATATATATATATAGATACTATAGATATACAAATGATATTGACGCTCCGCAGGTCACAATCATGATAGCCCATTGAAGACCTGCATTGGCAGCAGCTAAGCGGGAGCAAGCAGTCGCTGTAGTGGTGGTCGGTAGTGTGGTGGTGGTGATCTGTAGCCTGTAAGACTGAAAGCCAAGCTAGTACTGCAGTGGTGCAAGGGTCTAGTTAATCCTGCAAGCCAAGCCAACACTTGTTGAGCACTTGGCCGATGGTATCTCTAATGATTCTATCGCCAAACGACAATGCGATCTGTAGTTATCACGCCCAGCTTGTTTGCGGCCCGACCTCCTCGCCGCCAGCGCCGGCGACTGCTCTGAGATCATCAGGGGTTACGGACCTTGTGCTCGATGCAGGCATTTGAAGTCACGGGTTTCGAGGGTGACTGTGAGACATGGAGTTCCGGCTACGAGACCAACGCTGAGAGACTGAGAGCTCTGGAGCCCCACCACCAAAAGGATACAACAAAGAAGTGTAGGCTTTCAGACTTCATCCTGATACATTTTCAGCCTCGATAGAGGATGGGCTCCCGGCATTATGCCAACATCTCGTGGTGTTGACTTACAACCTATAGCCAGGTCACAGGGTGCCGGTAAACCATGCCGTGAGCTTTGCTGCCATTCGTTCCAGTGGCCAAGCATCGAGGGGCCTCGCTTCTGACTTCGCGCATGCGATAACCACGGGGGATGTGATTCGGGTTATCCTGAAACGTTTGCATCAGTCCTTCTCCTTCTTGTGCTACGACGACTGCCACTGTTATTGCTACTACGACCTTGCATCAACATTGAATAGAACATGAACACGGGTTGCTCTCGCAACCCACAAGTACCCACAAGCTCCAAGAGAGTCTGATGATTCCAAAGTGGTTGCGCAAAAATCTGTACTGGAAACCTCGAGGTTAAGGGTTCGTTTGGAATCTCGAGGAGAAGTTGCGATGACGTTTGCCTGTTGTCAAAGAGGCAACTAGACCGTTAGCTAGGGAACGGCAACTTCCATCGTTCATGTGTCTGCATGTTTTGCGCACCAGAACACCAAACCTCACTGCTCTTGATGCCTCTGTGAGGCTGAACAGAATTGAAGGGCTTTACACGCAAATTCTGTAATGACAGCTGCTTTTCTGAGCGTTTCAGCCCGAGACACTGATGTTGACCCAACTTCCGATGGGGTGACACATCAGAATGTCGTGTCGCGTGTGATAACATCCCTGCTGCGGGCTAGCCAATACCCACATCCTGACACCCCTAGAGCCCTAAATCCTAGACCGTATAGGCCCCCCGAAGCGTAATTGAACTGTAAACGTCTAAACCCTAAACAACTGAAACATAAACGACGAGTAAGCCCGAATCTTCCGCCAAGAAGCTGACTCGGAGATATTAGCTGCTCGACAAGCTCCGCCATACTCTCCTGGCGAGCATGGAAAGCGAGCTGGCTACCTATCTATTGGGCTTCAGGGAGTTGAGGGTTTGCTGACTACTAATGTGTAAATTAGATAGGCGAAAAACAAAAAGAGACAGAGAGAGAGAGAGAGAGAGAGAGAAAGAGAGAGGGAGATCTCTATGGCAGAAAGCCAGCTGCGGCCATCCAGCTTCCCCTGATCTCCGGTGGCTTGCACAAAATTACTAGAATTAATATCTACAGGAGCATCAGTATTCGTGTACAGTGCCAGCCCTCTGTAGGCATGTAGGTGAATTGACCAGCGGTTCAAAAATGTGGACTAAACCCGTCGATGCGCCGTGCAGTAGCTTCGCAGGGAGTCGAGGACCCCTTCGTCGGAGTCTAGCAGCGCTTTCCGACGCACGCCATACACAACCTGTCGCACCGGAATCGATTGTTTGTTCGGATTCTTTTTCTCCTGGCCTGATCATAATGGGTCGGGACTGAGTTTAAGGCTTAGGCTTTTGGGAGAAGGTTCAGGTTATAAGGTGTATAAGGCCTAGCGGCTGTGAACGACTCTGGTGGGCGTAGGGTGGGTTGGGAGCAGTCTAACAAGACTCGGCTCGGCTGCTCCACAGGAAAACCATCGGTTTGGGTCTTAACCTCGAGGAATATATGTGCAAGGCATTTACATGCAATAATGGCCGTTCTCGTCACAGTCCCGCAACAAAAGCTGCCTATGCGTACTGCCAGCACAACTCACGACTGTCGAGACTTAGGCCGACATGCCACAACTCTAGGTTCTGCATCGGCCGTGGAACGATCACGACGACATTGCGAGTTTGAGAGCTGGTTGCCTCCAGCAACAGCTAAGCATCTCGTTCATCCTACACTGGTGCGTCCCGGTTAATAGTAACCTCCAGCAGTAGCCGGCTGAAGTGCATGCTTTTGCGGTTGCCGGCTTGCCGGCTCTAGTCGGGCGGTTTGGGGCAAAGAGTTCTTTTAGTTCCCTCAGGGCCCTAACCGCTCCTTTTGGAATCCAGGTCTCCCTAATTTGCCCCAAACCCAAAACCCAAGAAGCCCGAAACCTGTCTTTGTTGATCCAGCACTTCGTCGTACTTGAAGACATCCTTGCGGATCCCGAAGAAAAAGCCTGGGCTGAATCCAACAATAGATCACAGCTCGCCCGAACATGGTGGGTTTGCTTACGATTCGGTGCACCTGATTTCTGGTCCCGCAGTCCTCATTTCAGGATCTATGTTAGCATTCCTTGCGTTCTGAGACTCCGGCAGTATGCGCTGGGACCCCGATCCCTCTTGTGGTTGAAACTTTGTCCCACATCAAACTGCTTTTCTATAAAGTCCTCTTGAGACGACGAAGGATAGATACCAAAGTTACAAAGAACCTCCCAGACGCCTATTTAGCTACTCTCAGCTGCCCAGCACAAGCGTAAGCTTCTATGGCGATAAGGGGGCCTCAATAGCTGGAACACTACTGTTGAGCTACATCGTAGATCCCAAGGTGGATTGCTGCAGCCACTCCACAGGGATTACAAAGGAATGTTGTGGTCGGCTTTGCCCCTTTCAAGACCGTTTCAGGCGCGGCAGATCTGCTGGGATCCGACACGGCGAAGAAGCTCCACAGAAATACGGCTCAAATAACTTCGTGGCAGCGTCCCTCACAAGCCCCAGCCCCATGGAGGTGGAAACACTGGCAAGGATTGACAACAACAAACTGTCCCAAAGCAAACACCTCCCCGGCAGTAAACCGCAAAGAGTCACGTCTCGCTCGCTTGGAATGTCAAACTGCGCCCGCAAGATTCTGCCACGGACAAACTGGAGACACCAACAACCCAAGCCAGCCAAGAAACTTTGAACCTGGTTCTGTGCTTCGTCAATGGCTCCCGACACCAGGGGGGACACCATGGGCACATCATCTGCGCCACCTTAGCTTACAAATAATGACGGGGGCACCTGCTACGCTGTGGCGGCTCGGGGTCCTTGCTTTCCTGCATCGAATCAGCGACACGTTAGACTGAAGGCACTGAGGGTTTAGGGTTTAGGGTTGAGAGTTTTGCTTAGGATTCCGATCAAGCTCGCGACCCATGTCGGCAGTCAGCATGCGAATCGTGTCGCCGCCGAAAACACGGAAAACCTGCTCGCGCTGGGTGTGCTGTGCTAGTTGCAGTGATACGATCATCAACGACTGCAGAAGACAGGAATGTATTATGCGCCGATGACTCTGTGACTGTTCTGAACCATGGTCCCTCTTAGTCTTTTCGGCTCTACATGCTTGCAAAACTCCCTGTCCGTAGAAATCCGGTAGCCTTACTCTCTGCAAGGTCACAATACCGCATCTGACAAGGAGGGACTCTTGGGTGGGATCATTTTTGCACACATCCTACAAATACATTTCAGGATGGCTGTCAAGTTGACCCGCACAGGACCCTATGAACGCCTTTTAAAACCCACATATAAAACATGCCCCCGCTAGAGTTGACTAGGGTGCTGGACGAAGACTCTCGACATATTATCGCCGCATATCCTCACCCTCTAAACCCTAAACACTGAAGCCCTAACACCGAAAACTCATAACATAGAAGTTGGAAAGACAGTTGCCTTGGGGTTCCTTACTAATAAAGTTCACGGACATGATACCCGGAACCTCTATCCTAATTATTAAGAACTCATCTACAATCCTTATGTACCCGCATACACCCCCGAAAAGCCCCTGCAAGCCTTTTTCAACCTTCAACCCGAATAGGATGCCTGGAACAGACCAAACCCTTATTGAGCCCTGACACTCTTCATAAGCCTCTTTTACACCGTTACAGAGTCCTTACCTTATTCGAAGCATTACGAACCCTTATTAGAAACCCGTCCCCCTCCTCAACCTACACCCGTTTTGAAACCCTTGTAGTAGAGCCATGTAGAATCTAATGTAGAACCCATTATAAGCCCGGTTGAGACCCTCTTCGAAGCCCTATAGATTCCTTGAAGGATCCCTGGCAGCACCATTAGAGGAACTGTGTTGAATTATTTTTTGCCTCCCGACTCGCTAGGACGAACCTACGATGCAGTACTTATTCGAGCCGTTATATTAAGAAGTGCTGTTAGAACTGCAGTCAAGAGCACCTTTAAGCTCTGTATAAACCCCATTAACACATGATTGTAAATCCGTAGTTTGGGAATCCCGTTAAACCCACCCCGGTTCCTAACCTTTATAAATCCTGAACCCTAAATCCGAAATCCCAAAGTCTCGGGGCCCTAAACCCTGAATCTGAAATTTTAAAACCCTAAAACTTGAACGCTAAACCCTACGTCAGATCCGTTTTGAGAAGAGGCTGCAGCGCACATGCCCTCATGCCCGCCTCACGCCGAAGCTCTAGATGCTAAGCCCGAAATCCCCAAACCCTTAGGGCCCTGAGTCTAAACCCCTCAACCCACGTTAAGAGACCCCCTTAAAGCGACCCTATAATACGTTTGTGGCATGTCGGGGGACTTAGAAAGTAGGTATGTTTATAGACTGATAAGTATCACAACCCATTTATTAGGATCCTTTTTCGGGCACTTGCAACTTTACTTGATACCCGTAAGCCTAAGCCCTGAACCCTGATAGAACCCTCAAAGGACGCCTTATCAGAACCCCCCCTTCAGGAACCCGAATTAAACCCTAAACCTCCCTGAACCTTATGGTCCTAAACCCTAAACCCCTAAACTAAACTTACTAAAACCCCCAAACCCTAAACCCTATTATAAACCCTATGGTGCCTTGTCCGTAAGGCTCAGGAAGAACCGGGAGCTCCCGGGATCGCCCTGGCGCCCGGAGCGGCCACGCAGCTGGTTGTCAATTCGCCGGGCCTCCCGGGCTTTGCTGGGTTTAGGGTTTAGGGTTTAGGGGTTTAGGGTTTAGGGTTTTGGTTGAGGCTTGGGGTTTTGGGTTTAGGCTTTGGGAGGTTTAGGGTATGGGGTGGTAGAGGCTTGCGAGGGTTTTTATGGGTTTGATAAAGGTGTTCGCTTCTTTTTTTCAGCCTTTGCAGCTTCCTTTTAAGCTTTTGCAGTCTATACGAGATTTCGAGGGTCTAGAGTCTAGAGCGTTTTATAGGACTGTAAAAGGCTTTTAAATCTAAAGCTCTTGGGGTATTTTTCGGATTTTAGGATGTATAGGGTTCAGTGTTTAGGGTAGTTCTCTTAAGTCGGACTCTTCTTTGGAAGGAACCCTTCCACAAGGACCCGGAATTACGAGAGCCCGTCATGCTGCCCTCCTTTAAGATTAGGGTTTATAGGGTTGGCCTTTAAGGTTTAGTAAGTAGGGCGAAGGAATGACGTGCGGTTGTTTCCAGGAGTTGCAACTGTCGTTTCAGGGCTCCACCTCATGCCGCTCCGTGCCGAGAACGCACAGGCCGCCAGCTTCCACGACCTCAGGAAGCCGAGAAACAACACCAACAGCGGTACACTACTGGCAGTAAGACATCAAATCTGGACAGCCGGTCGGATGCAGAAAAGCACTTGGATCCCCAAGGACCCCTTCAGCTAAACTACGTTCCAGAACCCGCGGCCATGGAGGTGAGAGTTGTGGGAGCTTGCGTCCTGGACCCGCCTAGTTGCCATTCAACTGTGCCTGCAAAAACGGAGAGCCAGGCATACCCAAAGATCAAAAACACCCTAAACCCTGAACCCCTAAAAACAACCGCCCCTGGACTCAAAGCCCGGAGTGCCTCGCGACTCTGGATCTCGCAAGCTTCAAGGAGGTAGTCCTGCGCCTCGCTCCATCTCAACAGGGTCTAGGTTTTTATGGTGCTAGGATGCACTATATCACTATATGTTGTGCTGGTGGTCGTGGTGGTGGTGGTGGTGGTGGTGGTGGTGGCGGCGGCGGCGGCGGTAGCGACGGCGGCAGCAGTGGCGGCCGTGGCGGCGGTGGCAGTGGTGGCAGTACTCGTCGTCGTCGTAGTCGTGGGGGTAGTGGAACTAGCACTAGTCGTCGGTGTCGTCGAAGTCATAATCCGTAGACGTAGACCCAACCAACCAGCAGCAATCAACAGCGCCTTGTGGTACGCGGCCTTGAGCGACAGCACGGCCGCCAGCACAGCGTCACTAGCTTCTGGCAAGGCCTGTGTCTTGGGGGATGCAGATGCCCTACAGTTGTCCCTTTCTTCGTGCAACCGTGCAGAATGCTGACAAGCGTGGTGTATCGCCAGAACTTTCGAAGTCTGGCTTCTTGGGTGGGGTGTCTTCAGACAATCGTGGGTGAGCTGGTATTTCAGAGATCGTCTGAGCAGCGCTCCTACATGTTAGGACAACTTGCCAAAAAGGGGCCCTTGACCAGCTTTGATTTGTGCAGGGCTGGCTATGATAAACCTAGCTTGTCCTCCCCGGCGACAAGTTGCTCATACAATCTGGTTGAGCAGAATCATCCTCGAGACGAGCCCCTCTACATCCAGCTTCGCATGCAAAGCCCTTCATCACCAAATCCTGCTTCATGGCTTTCACGATCCGACATCGCATCACCTCTCCTGACCCTCCCATACATGTTGAGTGGCTGGGGTACTGGTCTAGTGGGCTCGAGAGGGAAAAACCCTGGTAGTAATATCATCAATGGTCAATTTTTCGAGGTATACACTATACTTCACTACACCATTCTATACTATCCTGTAATATGCTATGCTATACCATACCATACAATATTGTACTGCATACTACTATACTCTACACTATACATTGCTATCGCTATCAAACTTCATCAGCAGCCCCCGACCCTAAACCCTAAACCCTAAACCCTAAACCCCCGAGCCTCAACAGCCATGGCCCGCTCGATGTCTGCCGCAGCCAGAGACGGCGCAGCGCTCGCCACGAGCTGAGATGCCCCCAAGGGTTTAGGGTTTAGGGTTTAGGGGTTTTATGGCTTCGCCGGGAGCTTACTGAGGAGTTTAGGGTCTTCCGGCGTGAGAGTTTATTTCGAGTTTGGGGTTCATGGGTTTGGGGAATCGGGAGTTTATTCAGAGCTCAGGGCCTATAGAGTTCAGGGTTTGGGGATTCGGGAGTTATTCAGAGTTTTGACTCACACAGCCGGACGAAGCCTGGCTAAGCGTTTAGGGAGTAGTTTTCTTAGTTAAGGTTTCGGGTTTGGGATTTGGGGGAGTTTATTTAGAGTTTAGGAGGCAAGGTGCCTTGCCATTGTAGCCTTCGTCCAAAGCAGCTGTGCCCTAAAACCAGGACCGCATCAGGGGGCCTTAATTAAGGCCGTCGTGAAAAAGACATCCAACAGTTCTAACACCCCCCAAATCTCAATAGCTCTGCGCTCCGAAGCTTTGCTGCCAAATTTCAAAACCATCATCAAACCAACTATGATCGCTGTCTGAAGGCTGGGGAAAGAAGCCCTTCTGCCTTTTAACGAGCTAGTCGAAACCCCAAACTGTCTGAGAGCCTCCCCCAAATACTAAACCCTAAACTCTAAACCCTAAACCCTAAACCCTTTTCATCCAGGACACAGAGCAAGCGGATGTGAGCTCTTCCTGGAGCGCATCCTGGGGGTTCCATACGTCAGGGCTGCCGGAACCCACGCTGAGACTTAGACCCCATACAGGGCCGATAGAACCCTTTAAAGGAGCCTTTTATGGAACCTTTAAAGGAATCCCGATAGAACCCTAATGAAAGGAGCCCTGATAGACCGAAGCCTCAAGCAGCACTGGGCCTTTTCCTCGGAAACTGCGGCTTCCAAAGTCTCAGCATGTCGCAACTGTTCAAAACAAGGCAGTCGACACAAGATCCTCCCAAGACATCATCGCCTTGTCCCGACTTGAGATAAGTGCCTTCCGGGTTGGGAAGCTGGGATGCCAAGACGACAACACTCTCAAGCGTAGGCATGGAACATGTTCATGTTCAGCAGAATGTTGATGCTAGGATGTACCAAAAACACCCCTCTCAAAGCACTGACATCTTGCCGAAGGGCGCAGCAATTAGGGTCTAGAGATATGCAAAACGTCCATCAAAACAGTTGCCTCAGCCATAACTCCCACAACCACTACCACCACCGCCGCCGCCGCCGAGGCACCACCACCACCACCACCACCACCACCGCCGCAGCCGCCACAACCACCACCAACAACAACGACAACAATGGTAACAAACAACAATATACGCGGCCCCTGTGAGTGTTCCAGCGTTACCCACAAAGCTCCCCGAAGTCGTGTCTTGCTTTATTGTCACACTGTTCTTCTTGAAAAAAAAACCTTCTGCAGTTCGTGGCTCCGATAAGGGAAGGCACAACTCCGAGAGCTCCGGCGAGTTCTCGTCTGGCGTGCCCTGGGGCGTCGTGAGGGCTGCCGCTTGACTGGGGGTTTCGGATTCAGGATTGAACCCTCTTTTTGACTGGGCTGACGTCTGGCCAGTTTCAGCCACCCCTCCATCGGGAGTTGAACCCTTAACCCTATAAACTCCTAAACCCTGAACCCCTCAACCCTAAAGCCCTGAACCCCAAACCCCGAAACCCTGAACCCCCTAACCCCCAAATCGATGAGTTCAGGGATTCTTGGGTTGCGGCCTCATGGGCTCTTCGGGTTTGGGAGTTAAGGGCTTGGGCATTTGGGTTTAGGCATCTGGGGGCTACAAGATTCGGGCTTGGGGCTTTGGGACTTAGCAAGTGAAGGCATAGTCTTTGGGAAGATCGGTTTAGGGTTTGAGGGTTTCGGCGCTCACACTAGGGCAATTGATTGAGGGTTTAGGGCTTCGGGCTAAGAAGCAGTGCCACGCGACACCTGCAAGACATGTTGCATCCACTCGGCGAGAATCCCCTAACCCTATGGCTTCTTAGCTCTTAAAGCATCCAAAACCACCAGCACGCCAACCGTTTCATCTAGCGAGACTGCAAAAAATGCAGCACTGCAGGCTCAAGAAATCTATCCAGGCAAGGCTGGACCTTCGGGGATTCGGACTAGCCCTATGACCCTACGAAGCTGACGCTGTGCCGGCAGCAGCTATTTCTGTGTCGAGTCCAGGTGCTGTGGAAGAAACGTTCCGCAGAGCCTCCTGCCAGAGGGGTTAACAACAGAACCTGCAAAGCAGGGTGAAGTCGGAAGAGTGAGAAGTTGAATAAGTATGTTACAATACGAAGGATAAACTGTAACGAAGCAGGTCAGATTTCTAGATAGTCAGGGGATGTTACTGTTCATTAACAACGTACAAAAGGATGTGAGCTGCCTTTTGAATGTGGGTAGCAATTCCGTATTTTCTTTCGGCCTGCACTATACAGGTTGAGGAAGCGATAACTCGTCATTCGTCCTTGAGGTACAACTTCGCCATCGCTTTCCCATCTCCACCGAGCACTATGTCAGTCCCTCGGCCTGGCAACAAGGGTTCTTCGGGCTGCTCGCCTTTAGCTGCTCGCCTTTAGCTGAAACACCAGCCAGCCGGGATGGCTATAAGCTTGGCAGTGAGATGAACAAGGCAAATTTTAATGTGATCGCTTTGTGTTTAAAGGGTGAGGGGGGTGCGAAAAGATTTCAAAGCGTTTCCGGACTGGAACATAAACTGTCCGGGAGAATCCGTAAACAATCTACGGCCTAAGGGTTGGAACTTCAGAGACTTAGAGTAGTCAGGCTTTTACATTCGCGATTTTAGCTTACGCCTCAGAGCTCAGGGCAAATTCAAGCGGGGCGGGTCTGAGGGCTTCGAGTTTTGGGCGGCGGGGTTTTGGGATCAGTCATACCACGGCGGACAAGAGTTCAAAGCCCCGTACTTAGGACAAGCAAGTCAAGAGGTTTTAGGTTTTATAGAATTTAGCAGGTGTCTTCCACAGTTGCCCAGCTGAACTCGCGGGAGCTAATTAAGGGATTAGATGAGTATTCCTGCGACAGGAAGAGTTCGCCATGGGAATCATGGGAAAACCCGGCAAGACACATCGCAGCACTGAGGCAAAAACATGCTTCTGTCAGGCCAGCCGACCAGTCATGAAGAAAGAGGTCATGACGTCTGCGTCTCTCCTTGACACTTCCTCCTTGAGCGGTCCGTCTCCCAGCCTGACCTGAATAGCCGCAAGGGCCTTGAAGTCACGCATGGCCCTTTCCACGCTTGCGCGCAGAGGGCCATGGCAGAGGGAGCCATCTGTCAGCTGAAACTGCGCACACCTTGGATACTCTTGAAAGCGATTCTACGTAATCAGGGGCCTGGGGGGTGGTTTTATAAGCTGTATAGTACAAGTATATAAACCACTTCAACTCTCGTTTCTCTGGCTCAAGGTTCGTATGAGCAGCAAAGGCACAAACAGGTGTGGAGCTGTGGGACTCCCGGCAGGTTGGTGAGGACAAGGCCAGGGGGGAGACTCTTCACACCAAAAACCTGCTGCAAAAGCTCTTCCTGCACGGCCAATCGCATGTCTTGCACTGTGGCTGCCGCCCTGCCTTCAGCACATTTCTGCCGCCACCACCGCCGCCGCTGCAGCATTTCCTCGCGTGTCATAGCAAGGGCCTCTTGGGCTGCGTGCCACACCACTTTCACCTCATCCAGACTAAGCAGTCTGTTGTCTGTCACACGCCGACAGGAAAACCGGAGTGTCATGACTGGCGCATCAGCCGCCTTCCTTTCCCGATGCAGCTGCTTGGTTGCGCGGTCCAGGGCTTGCTCAAAAGACATTCCAGCCTCGAACTCATTCAAGAAGCGACGACGCATCAGCAGCAGACCCATGTGCCAATCAATCACGGTGTCCAAACTCGGACTGTGCTGTGACCATACATTGATGCCCTTAAAACCAACACTTGCTCGAAAATACCGGTATGTCTTACCCCCATCACGAGCTGGATACACATGTAAACGGATACCCCGGACACCACTTCGCCCCTTTGGCCCGGGACCCCTTCTGTCGGCTTGTATCTCCGCTTCTCCCTTCGGGCCGTCTTCGGGAAGATCTGGGCATTGATCGCAAAGAGCCAAAACGTTCTCCTCGTCCTCGGGGTCGTCCTCGGACCCTGACTTACATTTTTCGTGCTCCTCTTCGTATGCAGATTCCGCTTGAAGATCGGCTGTATCAAGAAACTTCAAAAGTGCACGAAGCACTTGCGGCACCAGTTTCTTCAGGCGGGAGCGCATTGATCTTACGGGAAGGCGCAGTAGCTCCCTTGCGAGGTTCGAAATCGCTTCGGGCGGTATATGTGAACTGCTGTCCTGATTGCCTGCTGAAGCCTCGCATTTGCGCTTGGCCTTGGCCGCCTCTGATTTTGACTCCCGGGGCTCGTCTTGCCGACACCTCTTACCAGGTTGGGACACTTGCACCGGTTCTTTAGCTTCCCTCTTGTTCTGTGATGCCGTCTTTGCCCGCTCGAGTTCTCGATCATGAGCTGCGCGAAGCCGGGGGTCAGCCAAGGTCTCGAAGGCCCTGACAACTAGCCGGAAGGCTTCGGGGCTGCCCCCTTTGTCTGGATGCGTTGCCAGCGCCTTTCGACGGTATGCCGAACGGATGTCAGCGTCCCCTGCAGAGACTGCTACACCCAAAGCGGCATAAAGATTGCAAAGCTCCATCGGGCCATGTCATGCATGGCTTGGAGAGTACTATATATGCCACTGCAGCTACTGCCACTACTGCTGGCGCTACTACGACTACGACTTCGATGAGAGGTGAACAGTTTAATTCTTCTTCTTATGACTTAATGGATGGTCTTGCAGTGTTTGCTGCACTTCCGATTGCTCTTCTTGCGGTACCGATATAGATATGCGACAGTGGCTGCTATGAAGTCTCGGCAACTTGTTTGCGTTTTGCTGCACCGAAGAAGCTGCAAGAAAAAAACAATTTCCTCAGCTGTCACGAAGCATTGAAGGTTCCAATGCAGTCTCAGAGGGTGTCTTTCCGGCTTTAGGGGTCCTTCTAGCATCTCCCTGACATGAAATCCCACGAACACCTCAAGCACAGCAGCCTGAGATGCTTAGTTCGATATGCCGTACTTAATCCCGAGAGCACGAAACTCACCTTTAAAAGAAGCTTAACCCCCAAACCCTGAGACGATGCGTCCAAGGCCTGCCATGTTGGTTGCGATCGTGATCGCACCAGGGAGACCGCCAGCAGCAACGATCTCCTGCTGCTGCCAGGCATCTGCATGCTTGGGAGTCTGCGGCTGTTCGGGTCCCGGGTGTAGTTCAAAGGCTGCGGGTTCTAGGGATTCAGGCTGGGAGGTTTGAGGATTTAGGATTGAGGCTTCGGGTTTAGGGTTTAGGGGGCTTCCATTACTTTTTAGGAAAGGAAACCCCTACTGCCCAGATACAAAGGATCCCACAGGGTGTAGTTGTGACACCAGAGCCGACACTTGCCTAACTAGGTGATACTAGGTGTCAATTTCAACAGGCACCCCCAATATTAAACTATGACTATAGTCGGGTTTCAAAATCAGGCAATGGGGACTACAAATTATTTCAAGTCGGTACCTAGCTCATACTTACAGTGTCGCAGTGTCGGATCATGGAAACCTATGAAAGCCTGAACCCAACATTGTACATCATTGAGATAGATGGCCGCTCTTCCTGGAGCAGAAATGGCGACAGGGACCAAAGAAGCCCAACACCCCCAAAAACTGCGCACCATCCACGATCTGCAGACAAGCTGCAGCCTCTCTGGCTGCATTCTCAGGCTTGGCGTTTAGCAGCTTGTAGGTAAGACCCTCGCGGCTGAGATATCCAGCAAGGACCTCTGAATTCCTGGGAAGACAGTTTGCCCAGAACATCGGTTGGGAGTAGGGTATACCTGGGCCCTATACAACCTGCCTTTTCCTTTGGCTTACTATGATTTCTTGATACAAGTTTCGAAACAGGTAGGTTAGTTGGGGTTTAGGTATGGGTTTAGCGAGCTGCTGCAAGCAGTGCCGTCCCAGGATGTGCGGCGTTTTTTTTTCAGGATGACATATGGGAACAAGGTGTAGGACTACACATAGGCTTGGTAGCATGTAAACCCTAAACCCTAAACCCTAAACCCCTAAACCCTAAACCCTAAACCCCTAACCCCTAAACCCCTAAACCCCTAAACCCTAAACACATCCACGCGCGAAATGTAAGAATGAATTCTTGTTTAGCCCCCCATCTTTCTGAATAGCAAGATGAAGAGCAGCTGCCTGGCCTGACTATATATTATATTAATTTATACTATGCTACGTTGTTTGAGGTTTTAAATTACTTTATGTTATATATATATATATATGGCTTAATATTAGATGACTAGTTTCGAATTGTTTTGTTGAACTGCTTCTGTTAGCCAGTGATGCGAATCGTTCCCACTGCAGGGGATAGCAGCGAGCAGACCATACTGAGTATACTGAGTCAAACCGCGACTGTGTGCGAGCTAAAACACAATCTGCGTAAGGCCAAATTCGACTTAAGGGTGTATTGCGATGAGTTGATGACACTAAACCCACTTTTGCTTCCAGCCTGCAAACACCTAAACCTTTAAAACCTGAGCTGTAAGCCCTACACTGCTTCAGGGCACTGTCTCTTGAGCCAGCTAGGATTCTTGGAAGAGTTCAGGATTGGTGAAGGACTTGAGGCTAGGGTGCAGCGCCTAAGTTCTGAGGTTCATGGGTTCATGGGTTCATGGGTTTAGGGTTTAGGGTCGCTAATCCTCGTTGTTTTTTTGCAATGGGCGCGCCCCAAAGATGCCAAGCAGCGGCTCAGCTCAGCCGCAACAAATACTGGCTTGGCATGACGAACACTGTCGCGCTCGAGATGGCAGAGCTTGAAAGAGGACCGGCAACCCGAGTAGCTAATGATAAATAGGTATATATACATAGGATCCCCAGGAACCCTTCAAAAGGCCATAAAACCCAACAGCCCTAATTCAAAGTGCCGTAACCAGTTTGAACAGGCCGTGTAGTTTGTCTTGGGATAAAAGAGAAATGAGTAATTACTCGAACCCTATACTATGCCCTAAATGGGGCATTAAGCCCTAAGCCCTATACCCTAAACCCTGAGCCCTAAATCCTAAACCCTAAGCCCTAAACCCTAAGCCCTAAACCCTAAGATCTAAACCCTAAACCCTA